ATGTATGTTTAGGAAATGCCGGAGTCAGGGAGGCAGCAATAATGTCACAGTGGTCGTTAGCAGCGGATGGCAGAGTGCACAATAAAAGCCCTTCGCTTGCCCATGACTAGGTCCGCCTCTGCGCGACCACGTCAGTGGCGGGCGAGTGATGTAACCACTGGCGACGTAACCACTGGCGACATAACTACGGGCGACGTAACCACGGGCGACGTAACCACGGGCGACGTAACCACTGGCGACATAACCACGGGCAACGTAATCACGGGAGACGTAACCATGGGCGACGTAACCATGGAAGGCGTAACCATGGGCGACGTAACCAGGGGCGACGTAACCACGGTTCCGTCATCTGACCCTCGGAAGAATCGAGCCATATCTGAGTTCCGCTCTCTTGATTGGTGCATCAGTCAGGTGGGTCGTTCCGCAAACCGGCAGGACGCGGACGACCAAACGTGACCGGCGCTGAGAGTGCGTGATCACTGCGGCTTAACAACGCACTCAGCTTCTGAGAGCCCGCTGTTTTGCGCCGCCTGTCTCTCAGCGTGACCAGGGTGGCGGACACCGCGGGGAGTTGAACCCTGTACCTCTGATTCCCAGACGTGCAGCTTAAACACTGCACTACAGGTGACAAGGCTGCCGCCAAGGACGCCACCGCCACACTCATGCGCTGAGCCATAAAACATCCGTGTCGCTTCCTTTCCTTAACATCGCACAGTTCCTGGCAGGACGTCAGTGGGAACTTGAGACCTTATGTGACCAACTAATGTGACGTAAGTGAAAGTAAACTGCTGGTATGCATCTCTACAACACCCCACAACCTCTCTCCGCCCGGACTCGAAGCGGGAACCTGCGGTGAGTGAAGCGCACGTGATAACCAATGCACTACGGAAACGCTATATGCATTTTTTCCAGCCCGGTGGACGGTTCCTAAAAGACGTCACATGACAGACATCTTTCCATCGCATCCAATAAACACCTGAGACCTGAATGAGCATAGATGATGGCTCCGATCTGATCTGACTTTTTCTGACGTGACCTGACTGACCTAACGCTGGCTGATTTAACCCGGCGACCCAGTACCACTTGCCCCAAGCTAATCTGACCTTTACCCAGCCTGAACCGAACCTAGGCAAGCCTGACCTCCCCTGACCCGATCCTGACCTCTCGGGTAAGCGTCGACACGCTGGAGGTCAGCGGGAAGTGGCTGACCAGCACGTTGATGCCGTCGGTCAGCGGCGGGGCCGAGTGGTTCGAGGACGGCGGGATCGTCCAGATCTGAGACACATGTCGCAAACCGTCGTTACAGCGCTCCCAAAGTTGGACCAATCTTGTATGATGAATAATATTAATGTTAGAACTAGCCTTTTTGAGGGCAATAATGCGTAAAGCCACAATTATTCATTAATTAATGGAATACAAAGGGTCGATATTTCGCAACATATGCTTCGTATCGTCTCAACGCTGGGGTCTCGCCGGAGCTCACATCGTTTCCGTAGTGTAGTGGTTATCACGTCCGCTTCACACGCGGAAGGTCCCCGGTTCGAGCCCGGGCGGAAACAGCTTTTCGGTCGACGTCAAGGTCCGTAGTCGATGGGATGTTTTCATTTGCGTTAGTCACATAGCTTCGTCCCACCACCCCTCGAACACGCTGCTGGTCACAAGCCAGAAGCTTTGCAATAATTTACGTGATCGGTTCAATATGGTGAAGGCTGACGGGTTCCCAGGCAGTCTCCATTCGTCAGTGCCGAGCACGTTTGGCCCCGCTCGTTCAACCAGCACCCGTGGCGGCTGAGGCCCCGACCGTGCAGCGCCGCCAGCTGACGGCATGTGACGTCGCCAGACAGCCAGAGGATCTGCGGCTGCTGTCCCGATGCATGCCGTGTGTTGTCCAGTAACGCCATCCGACGTAGCGTTCGGTTGATATTGAGACCAGGCAAAGTTGAATAGAGAATATGAATCCGAATCGGCCAAAACCCGCAAAAAGGACAAAATCATAACTGAGAACAGATGCAACGCATTTGCGGTCACGCAGCCCAAAACAATAGGATCAGCTTCTATGTTCTGCTTTGGCACAAATCGTTAAGTGTTTAACCGCAGCGGTTGACTCCAGTGCACCAAACGTGCTTGCTATGCTAACAATAAGATGAATGTAAGGCACCTGTCTAGCGTCATCCCTGCTACGGATTACATTGAATAGCATGTGTAATTCGTGTGATTATCGTTTTGAACAATCACGATGCCAGACGGCAGCGACCGAGTGATCAATCAGTGGTATTTTAACGTCTCAAAGCGAAACTTAAACTGTTTATGAACAGTTGCTGGTCAACACAATAGTGCATAGAATGATAATTCAATAAAAGGTAAACAGAGGCAACGTTGGTGCATACGACAATGCAAATTTTACTGTAACGATGATGACCGTTTTGAAGACAGGTTGATGCATTTGACAACATTTTTCGAGGTGTTGATATTTTTATTCCAAAGATTACTTGCGCGACTGTGCTCGACTATTTTGGACATAACTGTGTTTTGTTACACAGCCTCGCACTGGCCGCATGGCTGTAGACGGGTGTTGGCCGCATTGCAGTCGCATTGGCACTGCCCTGGCCGCATTGCAGTCGCATTGACACCGCCCTGGCCGCATTGCAGTCGCATTGACACCGCCCTGGCCGCATTGCAGTCGCATTGACACTGCCCTGGCCGCATTGCAGTCGCATTGACACTGCCCTGGCCGCATTGCAGTCGCATTGACACCGCCCTGGCCGCATTGCGTGGCACTGGCTCTCGCTGCGGAGACGTGGTATACACATGATCATCTGGAGATGAATATGCTTATAGCAATGCGGTTACATGACGCTTTTGTAATAATGTCAAAAGCAGCCAGGTTCAGACTGATTTAGCGCTCTTTTTAAAATACTTTGCCATGTATCTAAAATGTTTTGCCATGACATTGCCATGATGAGCATATCAAGCATTCTTCTCCACGTTTTAAGCTTTTGAAAAAAGGCTGAATAGAGAATGTTTTCACGTAAGAATAAAATGACTGGAACAAGTATAGCAATGGCCTAGCAGTTCTGCAACGAAAAACTTAAAACAAACGCGTATGATGGACTAAAAACATGCAAATGATTGTAAAGACGTGTGGAATACGCGATGAAGTGTAATCCGTAATATGCCAAAACAAGACGACAGGTGTTTTCATGATAGATTACTGCGTTGGAAAGATTTTAAAACAAAATTATCAAAATTTTGTACCGAAGTTCCAGCATATATTAACACTTTGACAAGGGTGTGATTGTATTCACGCAATGTCTTTGATATCAAATGGCCCAAACACAGTTCTCAAGAGCAGAATCAGTTTAATACGAAACACGCCTTTTAATCAGCCTCCGTGCCTTCGGCCTACGCGTCTAGTTTACCCGAAGTGTAGGATAATACCAGGCCTGGCATTGGTGTTGATCGGTCGACGGCGATGAATGCTGACCGCGCCATTGGAGCCGCGTAGAGCGAGGCGGGCTTTGGGAGTCACTTCAGTTTAGGATCATTTATCTTCGAGCATGTCCAGATAAGCAAGCTCTGTAAGTACTACTGGTGCATACCTAGTAACAGGGATGTAGCCAGGGCAAAGCGTCTGTTTTGTCGCGTCTGTGTCAGACGTGCCACCGAATCTATCCAAAAAGTTCTGAAACGTTTCGGCAGAAGACGCCTGGCACCACAACTGCACGCACAAGCATAATCTTGTTTATGGAAAGAAAACTGCGATTCTATCAGCACATATGGCTTGACAGACACACAGGCTTGAAATCTCTAGGGGACATTTCTAGACAAAAGTCGATCAGGAAGCTGTGTCACCAGGAGCTGCTGACATCAAACTATGTAAAAAGTTTTCAAAGCTTTACTCCCCAGACTGTCGTGAAAACGGCTCATCTTCCAAAGCTTATGGATGATAGACCGGATAAAAAACTAGCAACTGAAGCAATCATGCCAGAGTCATTGGACGACTATTTCTCAGAAATTGAACAGAAACTAGACGATACGGCTCTGGTCCACCACTTGATCCACTGCTGATGATTTTTGATGTAACAAATGAATTGGTTTATCCCTTGCTAACGATGGAAAATCACGAATAAAATAAAAGTGTCGACAAATGTTTGAGCAGGATATAACATAATCAACCCCTGTCATTATGAACGATTGGCTGCACCATATAAGATCTATATCTAAGGTAAAATTGTTTGCAGGCACCTAAAATGCCCAGCATTTAATCGATGCTTAATAAAGAGAGGAGGCTGAAAAGCTCAGCACAATTACTGCCAAAAAATTTACTGCCTTTTGTATACAAGGTACCAGAAGAAAAAAGTACATAGTCTTCTCATTCCGTACTTGCTCACAAGCTTACACTAATCTTTGAAATTGAAATGCAACAAGTTGCATGGAAATACAGGTTATGCAGTTAATCAGTGTAATGTTGAAAAATGTCTGTGACACAGTATGTATTAGTATTCCATTTAAAAGGCATCAGAAACATGAGATCAAACACCGAGCAGACAAAAACATATTCGCATTGTTCAGCAAAATCACGTCGCAATCGAAAACAACAAACATTTTGGCCACATGGCGCAGGTCAGTCAGGTTTACCCTCCCCCTCTATTACCCCACCTCCCGCCATTTTGACCACATGGCGCAAGAGATCAGTCAGGTTTCCCCCTCTTCATTCCCCTACCGCCCGTTATTTGGCCACATGCCGCAGGTTAGTCAGATTCCCCCCCCCCCCTCTCCCATTCCCCCACCACTCGCCATTTTGGGCCACATGGTGCAGATCAGTCAGGTTCCCCCCCCTCTCCATTCCCCCACCGCCCGCCATTTTGGCCACATGCCACAGGAGGTCAGTCGGATTCGACCCTCCTTCCCACCGGCCGCTCTCCCGCCGTCTCGGGGCGTCTTGTCTAGGTTGGCCGCCAGGCGTACGACCAAGGACCAGGACGGGAGCACAGCTCGAACATCGTGTGTTTACATTACCGCAGAGCCCCACAGCTGAACAGCGTCTGCGACATTGGCGAGCCGGCAGTCAGTGACGCGGCCGTGGCCAAGCATCCTCGCGGCCGGAGCGCCAGCCAGCTGCTGCTCTGCGTTTGAAGGCCCGTCATACCTGAAAGTATCTACGAAGCTCTCCAGATGGGCCCTGCCGACGTTCAGATGAGCTCCACCAACTAGACAGCGTCGCCTCGAGCGAAGTGGATCAGCTTCCACCGTTACCTAAGAAAAACGAAGGTCACACCAGGTGATCCTGAGGACCCCTCCCAAGGCAACCTCACAGGCACCACCAGGTGGCCAGAGAGCTCTACCGGGACGACCTCACAGGCATCACCAGGTGACCCGAGGAGCTCTGCTGAGGTGACCTCGAGAAGCTATACCTAGGCGACCTCACAGGCACAACCAGGTGACCCTAGGGGCTCTACTGAGGTGACCTCGAGAAGCTCTACTGAGGCGACCCCGCATCGCCGCAGTGACGTCAGGTGACCGGCCCAGGCCAGGTCGTGTGCCCCGGTGTGCCCAGACCCGGACAGTCCATCGACGATGCACGTTGTTGTGATCGGCGCGGGCGTGAACGGAGTTGGGTCGGCGCTGGCCATCCAGCAAGAGTTGCCCGAGGTCAAGGTCACCATAGTCGCATCAGCCTTCAGCCCGGACACGACCGGCGACGGTGCCGCCGGCCTCTGGGGTCCGCACCTGGTCGGCGGCGATCCACAGCAGGTACGGTGGTCTGTCGGCGTGCGGGTCTGGCACACATACTGGGCTGGCTGCGCACAGCGTGCAGTTGAGTCTGTTGTGCAGGAGTGCGGCTAGGATCGTTTTGAGGGATGGGTCCAGAGCTCTGTGAGTATGCATACACTGATTTTTAACTTCCTGTTGGGAGCGCTCACTGGAAAGAAATGGAAAATATGTGACTGAGTTAGCGACACGGACCCCCAGGCTTGGAGAAAGGATTACTGTGCGGAGTTTTTGAAAACTCTTGTTTTCGGCACTTATCTCCGAGTAACGAAACGTTTTAAGGATTCTCGGCTTGAAATATTCTGCAGAAATTTAGGAACATTTTTGTTAAGACGTATCTGTTGATAGAATGACGGTTTGCTGGTCATCAGAAAGATCGTGTTTGTACCAGGAGCGATGATGCCAGATCCCTTCCCGTCAAAACTCTCAAGAAACGTTTCAAAAAGATTTGATGGCATGTCGGCCGCAGACGCAACGAAACAGACCCCATGTATGAGCGTCCCTGTTAAAAGGTGTTGAGTCCTTACCAAAATTGCCTACCTAGACATAGACAATGTCCTCACCGACATTTCATACCTAGACATGGTCCACGATGGATGATCATTAGTCATTGCCGGCATTGCCTACCTAGACATGGTCCACGATGGATGATCATTAGTCATTGCCGGCATTGCCTACCTACACATGGTCCACGATGGATGATCATTAGTCCTCGCCGGCATTGCCTACGCAGACTCCACGATGGATGATCATTAGTCCTTGCCGACATTGCCTACCTACACATGGTCCACGATGGATGATCATTGAATCAGATGATCCCAGAGCCCGCCTTGCTTCACACGACACTAATGAAACAATACTGGTGCGGCCAACATCCGATACCTTCGAGTGATCCACACCGTTGCCAGACCTGGGATCAGCCTAGAACCTGAGTGAACTAAAAAAGGCATGGACTAACAAAATGAATTGCTATACAGAAGTTTGTTTCGTATGATGCACTTATTCAGAGCCCATTAAACATGACTTTGCTATTCGGCGTCAATTGCATGTAAAAAATTGTGTCATCCAAGCTCTTAGTGTGCACTAAACGCTTCTTTCTACAACCATTCAGTTCTTAACAACTTCAGCACACTCATCCTTCGTGAAAACGGCTGTTGTCTAAACTGGTGGAACATATGCACAGTGGTGGTCAGACTCCGGTGCATGCACTATATCTTAAAAGACGGGTATATGCATCACACGTCCAGTCAGACACACGCCCGGCGTATGTATGTACCAATCAGTCAGTAACATTAGCCGTTTTGGCAAAGGATTAAAGGGCTGGAAAGAAAGTCTTAGAAGGTTTTGAGATAATTCTCTGAAGTAAAGGTATATATGTTTAGGTAAATATACCAATAAAGTATGGAAGAAATAAGAGGTAATAAAGTATAATATACTAAAAGTATAGCTACTTAACACTCGCAAAAGGTTAATCACAAATTATCACAATCAAAAGGTAATCACAAAGTCGTTTTTATGCAATTTCATAGACATTCAATAGCTTAACCGCGTGTATCTAATTACAAATAACTTTATGACATGAACGAAATAAATTGTTACAAACCGGTTTAAATAAAGACAATTTTCTTCAGTCCATGTGTAGCTACGGCCAATCACTCCCTATCTCAAGGTGCCATTATATAAACGCCACGCTCCGTTCATGCAGGGCCGTCCAACCCACAGTCTCCGCTCGCTCCGCCACTCGCCGGCTCGGTCAATGCCCCGACCCAGCGGTGCCCGCGGGCACAAGCCGGCCGGGAGCCCCTGGCACATAGGCAGCCTGCAACGCACAAGGCTGCGGCCGCCCGCCCAGGCTGCACCATCCCCGCTTTCATCAGACACGCGCAGCGCTCCCAGCACGGCGATAGCCTCAGGGCACAGCTCCCCGTCACCTGGCTCGAGACTGGCCGGTGCATCCTGGTCAGCCGGAGCAGCCGGACCGGCGGGAGACACCGTCACGGACGCGCAACACGTCAGAGGGCGGCCGGCGCCGCAAGCCACCTGGAGATCAGAACATTTGTTAACCGATAGTCTCAAAAGACACCGAAGCAGCCATCAGCAAAGGGCACCGAAACAGTTATCAGCTAACACTTGATCAGCAATCCGGTTTCCAGTCCGGACCAAAGCCCGAGCCGACGAGCCGCACCCTAAATTGAACGGCCAATGACACCTTTGCCCGACACAGACTCCGCTAGCCTAGTTACCTGCGATGCAACTTTGGTTGGGTCAAGGCTCAAGTGACAACTGTGGCCACCAGATGTCACTTATACAGGGCGTCTCACGGCCGAAGTCCATGAGAGTGACGGTAGCCATTGTTAGTGTGATGGCCTAAACACTAGACGCGTCCAGCGAATGTATGATGCCTTCAGTACGGCCACAGCGCGGGGCAACATTACGCTTAAGCATCAGCGATAGCGCATAAATAACTGACATGACAGTCCGGTGGAAAGACATGGCTTATCAAGGACCGCCACATCTAACATCCCCACCACCTTACATTACTACATAGCACAAAGCCGTTAACGAACAACCATAGATAATTGAGTGAGGCGGTCACGTGAACGCTCACCGCGCGCTGCAATTCAGCGCACAACCTTAAGTACTAATATGTAAGGCGGTCAGATGGGCGTCAGACAGGCTCAGGCCGCCTCGGCGCCACAGGAGGGGCGGCAGACCGCATCGGAGTCGCGGTCGGAGCTGCCGATGGCGGCCGCTCTAATGCAGCCAGCTGTCTGGGAGCCGCAGTCAGAGCTGCCGATGGCAGCCGCTCTAGTGCAGCCGGCTGTCTCGAAGCTGCAGTCGGAGCTGCCGATGGTAGCCGTTCTAATGCAGCGGCTGTCTCGGAGCCGCAATCGGAGCTGCCGATGGCAGGCGCTCTAGTGCAGCCGACTGTCTCGGTACCGCAGTCGGAGCTGCCGATGGCAGCCGCGCCAGCGCAGCCAGCTGCTCCAGGGCCGCAGGAGGTTCACATGGACGGTCAGTTCCCACGTCAGCACACTCGTGCTGCCGTGAGCCAAGAACTCCAGCTGGTGCCGCTCGGCTTGGGTGCGGAACGGATGTGAAATGCAGTTACATTTCGCCATTTTTCTCAAGCTCCTCTCGTTGCGGCCGTCGTGGTACGCTGCTCTCTGCTGTTTTGAAACCTGCGGCTGCTACTCAGGTCTCTGTTGGAAGGCATAGCGTGGCTTCAGCCCGTTGTGGTGCACCAGTGACATTTTGCCATCATCTACACGGATGAGGTGGTTAAGGTCGCCATGTTTGGATACAAAAACCGCAGGTTTCCAGATGCAAATAAACTTGTGACACTCGCCCTTCCTTGCCGCCCTTCTGAAAAGAAGCACTTTACCTCCGGACTGTAGTGAAATGGATTCAGCTTTTGCTCGTACAATTTCTTGTTTCGAGCATGACTCGCATATGACATGCGAAGCGGTTCCCGGTGGGCGCTTCGCAACCTCGCACAAAGTTCACCAATGTATGAGGAAACACACGGACTTCGACACGCGGGGGGCGTTGACCTCGGAGTCGAGGGGTAAACGAGTGTCCCGACCGAACATAAAGAAAAACTGCTGTACCCCATCGACCTTTGAACCCGAGGACAGCAGCACAGCATGAGGATGGGAAGATGCTTATCCACTCTGAATGATTCTGGGAGAGGTACTTTGAGGACATTGCTAGGATCGCCCTATCTACTTGCGTCACAGCGGCTGTTGCCCTGTGGGCAAAAACCTAATTGTGTTAGTCTTTGATACCCATTAGACGATTGACCTCGGAATCAGCTGATTTCTGGAATTAGCCGCACAATCAGAATGAAGATATTTTTCGCGATCCTAAACGAGAAGTGCAGCTCCCTTGCAAGCTCGATGGTCACTGGCCGCCGCCATTTCTGGCAGGGGAACACCTCCACCCAGCGCGTGAGGTGATCACATCACACCAACAGGTGCTTGTTGCTGTTAGTTTTGACGGGTAGATCAGTGAAAAAATCGATTGAAACCGTTTCTCAGGGCTCAGAGGAGTAGACCTCTCCCATCGATGCGTGCAGTTGTAGAAAAGTAGAGTTACTACCACAACGCCTGCCACATCCCTGGCAAAGCTGGCGCGTGTCAGCGGCCGCCGAAAGCCAGTAATAACGGAGCTGCAGCTAAGTCAGCATTTTCTCGGATCAGAAATGTCCACCACACGGCCAGCGTGCACGGAGTTAAACGCACCGCGGACGAAACTGTCGGGGATCACGGCCTGCAGCCGCTCAGGATCGTGGGGGTGACGTTTGTACTTACGGAACAACACTCCCTTCAGCAAGCGGAGCCGTGGCCACTGCCAAAGCCAAGCCCGCACTCCGGAGGACGTGTTGCGCCTCAGCGGCCGTAAGCCCATAGCCATGCTACGTATCACTTCTGCGGCCGTAAACCCATAGCCATGCTACGTGTCACTTCTGTGGCCGTAAACCCATAGCCATGCTACGTGTCACTTCTGCGGCCGTAAACCCATAGCCATGCTACGTGTCACTTCTGCGGCCGTAAGTCCAAACCATGTTACGTGTCACTTCTGCGGCCGTAAACCCAGAGCCATGCTACGAGTCACTTCTGCGGCCGTAAACCCAAGCCATGCTACGAGTCACTTCTGCGGCCGTAAACCCATAGCCATGCTACGTGTCACTTCTGCGGCCGTAAGTCCAAACCATGTTACGTGTCACTTCTGCGGCCGTAAACCCAGAGCCATGCTACGAGTCACTTCTGCGGCCGTAAACCCAAGCCATGCTACGAGTCACTTCTGCGGCCGTAAACCCATAGCCATGCTACGTGTCACTTCTGCGGCCGTAAGTCCAAACCATGTTACGTGTCACTTCTGCGGCCGTAAACCCAGAGCCATGCTACGAGTCACTTCTGCGGCCGTAAACCCAAGCCATGCTACGAGTCACTTCTGCGGCCGTAAACCCATAGCCATGC